ACCTACACACCCTTCCAACCGCTTCCGGTGCCATGCTATGAGAAGACGCAGGACGGACGTTTGGAAGTTGTCAAATTTTGCCTAGCAAATACTTATTTTTAAGAAAAGTTAAACATATCTTTCTTTGAAATTTACAGACAATGCATAGACGGGCAATGAATGTTCCTATTTTGCGTTTTGCATATTTATCTTTCATTTAGGAAATTAATTTTTGAAAAACTTTTGTCACAGTTGTAGTAAACCGGAAACTAAGAGCATTTGGACTATATTTTTCAATCAGAAACTACAAATTCTGGCTCATTTTAAAAACAACGCATGAACCATTAGCATTCCTATGTACATCAGTGTTTTACAGATGAGCCCGAAAATGTAGTCTCGAATTGCAAAATTTAGTCCATTTATCCGTCGTAGAAGTTCACATCAGCAAGAAAAAATTATGGGGAAAGTATCTGGCGAACGTTTAATGATTTTTGGAAATTCGGTGACGTCGCAGCACATCATGGGGGATGCAGTGAGAGTGAAAAAAGCATGAAATTTTCTGCGTGTTCCTTGCTGGGGCTTGCAGATAAGTGGTAAAACTGCCGCGCGCAACTATTCGTGCACCCAAGCTGTTTATATTGCTATCACATTTATTGAAGGCGAACTCTCAGTCACGTGATTGCAGAAGAATTGACGGGCTTGGAGGACAAGGCGCATAAGCGCAGTTTTCGCAAAAATTGAAATACTAATAATACCAAGTAAAGCTGGTCTTAATGCATGTTCTGTGAAAAATTCGCACCCAAATTCCAATTTTCAAGCATCGAAAAATCGGTTTTAACTTTTTTCCGCCATAAGGATCCATGTAATTCCAAAACTTCAAACATGTATTTCTCGAAGCAGCAATAACTGCACTTGCACGCCTTGTCCTCTAAGCCCCTCAATTGGACGTATTTCTGTCAAACGGAACTAAGCGTCATCGGGGGAGGAAGGGAGAGGGGGGCTTGGATTGGCGGCGGAATCTGGCGTCGGGCTCATTCCGTCCTATACTCGCAATGCTTTTCCATGGCGCTTAGTTCCGTTTGACAGAACGCGCTATCTGGGCATTCTAATTTCCTCAAAAAGAACTGTAATTGGCTCTTAGTTCCGTTTGACAGAAATACGTCCAATTAAGGTATGTTCCTTGCCGCCGGGATAGTGCAGAAGGAGCCATTCAAGTATTAAGTAACGCACTTTTTCCAAATTTTAACCCCCCCCCTCGTAACGCACCCGTAACGTAACCCTACACCCTTCTATTTGAATTAAGTAACGCTGGCCTGACCCCCTACCCCCGAATTTCAAAAAATCAAGTAGAGGGGGTGAGTAAATGCGACACGCGTTTCGTCGCACGGTGAATCGAGTCAATGGGAGAGGTTGGACAAAATTTGAAAACTTTCAAAGCTTATAACTGCGTTCATACATAATTTTGAGGTTCTAAAAGTGGCTCCAGTGGTTTTCTAGTGACATTTTCTTCACGAGGCACCCCATAAAATTTAAAATGTGACGAAATAAACATCGACATTTTCAGTTTTAGTCAAAAATTTCATGTTCGACCTCTCTAATTGACTCGATCCCTTGTGAGTCGGCTGGGTCACGCGCCGGAGAGATTCATCCGGGAAGGGCGGGATTGTCCATTTTTTGCGCGTTCTTTTCAAAGTTTTTTTCTCTCGGCTCAGATTTGATACTTGACGCTGGACTTGACTCCCCCCCTCTACCCCCACCGTAACCCCCGGTGTAATGCACCGGAACGGTGGGTGGGAAACCCCCTCCTCCCCTAAATGCGTTTCGTAATACTTGAACGGCCCCATGAGGGTCCTCTAGGTTTCCAGGATTTTGGCCCTTATGAGAACCCCAACCCCTCCTTGACTTTTGTCGGACTGAAGCCCTAGGTAGACCATGGCAGGGCCGGATTAAGGGGGTGGCCACATGGGCCGCGGCCCATGGCGGCAAATCTAAGTGACGGCAAAAACTTGCAATTTTTTAAAGTGTAGGTATAAAAAAAAAAAAAAATCGGATTTATGAAAACAAAATTAAAAACGAGAAGAGGCGACACAATCTCTCATTTCCTGAGAGTATGGTAATTTCTAATTTTGTCGTCTCTTAGTGATACAAGAGATAGCACCTTCAATAAGTCGATTTAAGAGAGAGACCAAACTCGCAATTTGGCCTGGAACGGCGCAACTTAGAGAGAAATGATAAAAAGAACTTAAGATGAAAAGGAGAAGCCCTCGGAGTGGCGATCGGCGTGTAACACATATTATCGCCTACAAGACTGCACGAATACTTCACGCATTGCATCAAACACAGTGCGGTCATTGCGGTCAGCATGAAACGGATAGCGCCTACAAGAATGCATGAATACTTCACGCATTGCGCCAAAGACAGTGCAGTCAGCGTGAAACGCATAGCGCCTACAAGACTGCGTGAATACTTCACGCATTGCGTCCAACACCCCGCCCAACACGAAATATTGCAGCAATATTGCAGCAATATTGTCAATATTGAAACAATATTGTCATGTAAATATTTCCTTAAATACACTGCAGAAATATGTTGACAATATTGCTAAAATATTTCATAACAATATTGTAACAATATATTTATAAAAATGTTTTAAATATATTTACAAAATATATTTATGTAATTACTTTTAAAACAGTTTGTAAAATATATTTACAAAATATTTTAAAATTATTTTAGAAATATTAGTTTAAAAATATTTGTTTAATATTATGTTAAAAATATTTTATAAATATTTTTGTAATATTTAAAAATTAATTGCTAAAATGGCAAAAAATGGTTTGCGATTTCTGCAATTTGCTTTTTTTGCTAAAATGCCCACCCTCGTGGCGAGAACGACAAAACAATTTGCAAAAGTGGTAATTTTATTGTGCGAAAATGGCAAACTATACTTTTGCGAAATTAACATTACTAGTTTATGCTATTATGGCTAAAATTTTTGCTAGATTTTCAAAATGTTTGCCAAATTAGCGTATGGTTTTGCTCTGTTTACCAATTATTTTGCGGAACTTACTAAAATCAATCTCTAGAAAAAAGAAAGGGGGGGGGAAGAAAAGACAAAAAGAAGGGAAAAAAATAAATAACATAACATAAATACATCGACATAAATTCAAACTAGGAAAAAGCTCAAATAATTAAAACTGGAAAAAGACGCAATTATAAAAAACAGTAATTTGGTAAAGAAAAAAATGAGAGAGAGTTTAAAAAAACGAAAATTTGTAATACATGAATAGGAATATGTTGAGTACAATTAACAAAGAATTTGAAACACAAATTACAGGATGAAATAAAAAATAATAAATAAATAATAAATAATAAATTCTGGTAAAATATTATAAGAATCCGTCAATGAACAAACATATTACGGACTCAGAGGCCTGCGATAGTTAAGAGATTGAATTTACGGACCCATCTACATCAAGCCTGGCTGGTCTGGTGGTAAAGTACTGGACTTCGGATATCATCTCCACCCCGAGGCGTGGGTTCTAATCCCGACTAGGACGGCGCGGATTTTAAGGTCAGTAACAACTCTACGATCCACAACCTGGATGCATGTGTACATTAGAAAGAAAATTAGTACCAAAGACGTCTCCTAGAGTGCGCGCACACGGATATGGAATATGATAACCTCATCGCAAGTAAATATTTTTAAAATATATTATCAATATTACCTTGACAATATTGCTGCAATATTGTCAGGGGGGCGGACAACAAACTATTGCAGCAATATTATTTCGATATTGTTAAAATATTGTTAAAATGTTTTTGACAATATTTCAGCAATATTTTTAAAATATTTCCGTGTTGGGCGGGACGGTGCGGTCTGCGCGGCGCGGTGGCGGAAGCTAAAATCATTGAACCACATTTATGTTTGTTCTTTCATAATTTTTTCGTTCATTTCTTATGAATGGAAGGCCTTGTCCACACAGAGATAGGTTTACGAAACTTAACTTTCGTGCAAAGTTTCGTGAACTTTTGCTAGTAGTGTTAACAGGGCTTTCCCAAAAAATGTGTTCAGCACGAGTAAATGCGTCTTATGCGCCCCTTTCCCGCTGGCACGTTCATTTGATGGTTTTTATCGAGTTTCAAAACGAATGAGAAGGGAGCGGCAAAATATAGGTGGCCCATGGGCGGCATCTAGGTGAATCCGGCCCTGGACCATGGTGCGGCGTAGAGTACCTATATTGAGAGAGTATGGCCACTGGGGTTACCACCTCTGATTGGCTCAGCCATCTTAGGCTGAATGGAGCCCTTAGGACCCAAAAATGGCGGACGCCATAAATTAATGTAATGCAAAATGACTCAAAATGTAGTTTTGTTTGCTTATCGTAACGAGAAATTTACCCAAATGCACTATTGCGACATCTTTACATATTTTTAAGGCTAATCGTGTGCAATTTTTGAGAAACATTATCGTAGATGTAGTAAGGTTGGCAGCAAGTGCGGTTGGTGATAACCGCGTCAAAAGTTGGCAATGACTCCCCTCCCATCCACAAAAACCAAAACAAAGCACCGCCATTTTTGGGTCCGAAGCCTCTCCATAAGGGCCCAGTAGTGGCCAAACTCTCTCAATGTAGGTACTCTAGTGCGGCGCGAAGCGCACGTGCCGTCCACCGGCATCGCCGGCAGGTACATACCTTCCGTCTCATCCGTGGAGCTCTTCCTTCGCCGAGCGGTGGGGACGCCGCCGCCGCGACGCACGACGGCGACGCGACGGTGACGGAGAAACTGTTAAAAGTCTTTTACCTGCTTCGGTATGCGGCGCCGCGACGAGCTGCTGCGACTCGACGCCGCCCGTGTCATCACGTAGCTGCCCTCGCCCGATGCCGCTGATCCTCGATAGAAGATCGTTCGATCAGTTCAAGTATCTGGCCAGCGCTTACGGTCGCCTCATCTCCCAGGTCGTCGTCGTCGTCGCAGTGACGCAGCCCCCCTCCCCCCCCCCCCCGCGCCGCGACCCCCTCGAATTCGGCTGTCGAACGCGGAACGCTCAGTGCTTTGACTCGACGCTCGACACGCGCAACTCCACGCCCGCTTGTTTTCGTTCCTGTTGTACCTACGTAGATTTTACGTTGTTCTCTCTGCTCCGCGCACACTTGCCAGTCGCTTTTCACTTGTTGTGGGAAGATATTGCGGTATTTTCTCCACTCCGTACCACGCGCGAGTCTCTGTTGTCGTTTTTTTTCAAAATCGAATCGAATCGTTTTTGCTCGCTCGCAAGTAGATTTTAAGTTGTTTTTGCTTCTCTGCGCACATTCGCAAGTTTCGATTTTTGTTTGTTGTGCGTGGATCTTATGTTGTCTTCTCTACACACTCACGAGTCCCTGAATTCGCTTGTTGTGCGTTGATTTTACCGTGTTTTCGTTTGCCTCTCGATTGAAAATCAGTGCAAGTTTCAAAGTGCTTCTCTCGTGGTTGCGATTAGATCGAACGGTACTACGATGTGATGTTTATGTGTCGCCACCCACGATACTCGACAGTCAAGCCTCGACCGAACCCTGGTGTTAAATGTTACGTCAATATTCAAGTGAGTCCCGGTTTTAATTCTATCGATATAAGTAATTAATTGCCAATATGATACGATAGATTGCATGGCTGGCACGAATGTGTCAATATTTCAGCAAGGGTACTTCCTCAGTCGAAACGCAGGGGGACTGAAGTCATTGGAGAGAGGCAAAATTTGAGGCAAAAATTACTAAACTTGCTCGATGCAGGCTCAAATTTGAAATGCGGAGGAGGGGGCTGAAAAACGGAGGGGGCATTTAACCCCCTCCCCCTCAGCCGTTATCAATTGATGCCCCTGTTTTACAGCAGCAGTGAAATTGGCGGTAAAGCTGTAATATTACCGGTCATGCAATGGTAGAATCGAAGGAGGGATGAATACCCCCTCCCCTCGGTCACAGAATATGACAAGGAGCGCGACAAGACAGACAAAATGTGTAAAACGCTGTTTCGGGGGATGATACCAGAAATAATACTTTGCTCGTTCGGGTTGTGGAGACTTGATGCACCCAAGCAGCCAGAGCTCTGATGTTGCCAGAAAATGTTGCTATGCAGAGTACATACATAAAAGCCGCTTTCGTAGCGCTTTTTGGCGCTCTGCGACACCCAGCTGCCAAAGTCCCCTATCCTCTCATAGCCTCTCAGGTAGTTTTCCTTCCTTCAAACCCCTCGGCGCCACCCTTTCACTGGACGTCCTCTTCGTCTCCTCCCAGGAAGAATCCAATCCGAAGAAGTGACTTCACTTCTTCGGCAGCCTTCCTCCTCTTCGTCTCCTCCCAGGAGGAATCCAATCCGAAGAAGTGACTTCACTTCCTCGGCAGCCTGCCTTCCGTCATCCTGTTATGCAGTATTTCTTTGAAAATTAAAGGTAAAAACCGTTGAGACACTGTCTTTTTAGATGTTTTGATGCGGCCGGAGTTGTATGGGCGACAAGGTTTATCGCAAAATGTAGTTACGCCCTCATGTCAGGAGAGCGACGAATTGAGACAACGTGCTCCAAAATCAGTGGTGTGGTGTGCTTTGCGATATATAGATTGATAGATCTATGTAAGGATCGATGAAAAAGGTGTTTGCAACGAACAGTTTAACAATCGATTTTTTATCATAGCTGCAAATGGGGAAATATCGATAATCGATCACTCACGCCTTGCCACTGTAGGAAATGTGTGCTGAAATATAAAGGAATACGTTTTAAAAATCTCCTGGAGAAGGGCTTCAGAACCTAACAAATCGAAACACCCTCTGTCCATACTGCCGTGCTAAGGAAGAACGCCGTATGAACATTCGAATGTTGCTAAATTTCCTTCGATAAAATGTTCATTTCCGAGGAAACTCATGAATAATTTCCCTCAAAATTTTCAGGACTTTTCGGTTGAATTTGGAACAAAATTATCTGAAAATTGGAAGAAAAATATTCCTAAGTTGACCAGGAAATTTGTGTATTATCAACGGAAATTTGGCAACGCTTAAAGGTTTATACGGCGTTCTTCCTTAGTGCGGCATCATGGATGACTGTAGTTTTTGACGAAGAGCGGTTATTCTCTGAGCAAGCTCGATACATTTTTTACAGAGTTTGTTTGTATCGATGAAAAATGTAAAAATATGGGAGATAACCAACGTCACATCTCACTCCGTCGGGCAGATAACAAGAGAAAGGGCCTCAAGGGAGGGGAGTGGGATGTCAGAGGTCGTGGGTGACTGTGTCCATCTGTAGGGAAGTCGGATCCCCAAATTCCACCGGACTCGGGGTGAAGAAAAGAAGATTAATGCTTTTTTTTTCCCTAAATCGTCGAGACTAGAATTAATATAGTGATATTTCTCGTCGTGCATTGCATAATGGAAGCGTTATGCAGAAAGAAACCAAGCCACATCAGCTATTGCCACATTTCATTCGGCAATTCAATTTTTTACATGAGAACGCACTGGAAAAAAAAAAAAAAAAAAAAAAAAAAANAAAAAAAAAAAAAAACACATTGGATCTAGATTCCAGACTCTTGAAAACATTGACAAGAAAAAATACTGTTGATTCAATCGGATTTTTGCTTGAATCAAAACGAAATCCGCTTAAATTAAGAGGCTTAGTTCTTGATTTCAGCTAGATTCTGATTGAATCAAGAGTACTTTTTCTTCTCGATGTTTTTAAGAGTCTGGACTCTAGATCCGATGTTTTTTTTCCAGTGCGGTTATACGGATTTTTGTGCCAATTTCAGTGAATTTTCTGCTCAGTACGAAGCAACTTCCTTAAAATTTTCGAAGGAATCCGCACAAACATTCTATTGTAAAATAAGAAATTGCTCATTTAAATTTGACAATAGCTGATGAGGCCTGGCTCCTTTCTGCCTAAAGCGGTCCAATTATTATTCGTCAGAAAACGTGACTGTTCATGGGGAAGGGTATCCTAACCGATAAACATATTTTTCTAGGGAGTTACTCTGTGTCAAGTCGTGTCGATAAATCGGACTTAGAGTTTTCGACGAAGAAGTGGATTATAGTATCCCAAAAAGTGGTATAGTTCGTCTCTAATGTAATAGCACGCGTGAGATTTCATTTTAATACGAAAACTAGACGCAGTCTACATTTCAGGAGGGAAATGGCAGAACATTATATAATTCTTACCAATATATTTTACCAGACTTTAGTGTGCCATAGCTTCACCTATGATTCTTCATTGCATCCATGAAATTATACACTTTTTTTGTATTAAGGCTCGTGATGATACAGATTTCCTGTCGCATTCCGTTTTTTCCATTTTATAAGAGGTTTTAATTTTTCTTTAGCTAAAAAGTTAAATAATTAAGATTTGAATAAAAACTATAAATTAATTATTAATAATAAATTTAATAATTAATTTTATTGAAATTTCTGTATTTTTATTTTTTTTCTAATAAAAATTTATTAATTTCATCAAGTCATTATATCTGAGTTTAATTTATCTTGTCGTAGTTCTTATCTTTTAAAAGTTTACATTGTTTACATTTAAAATGGTCATCAATTTTGCCTCAGATTCCGTGTCATTCATCAGGAATGCTCTTTAAAAATGTCACACTTAAACATTGTAATTAGCTTTCCAAAAAGAAAAATAAAACTAAAAAATTTAAAGAAAGGACTGCTCATTAAAGTAGGTTCAAGGAAACTCTACGTATCGTGCTTGGATACTTATTTTTTGCGATTTCGAGGGCCGGCAACTTTGTAATCCTTTTAAAATATATATCTCCCGGAGAATCGACAATGTTATGATAATAATCAATAATGTTTTACTTCGGCAAAATAGGCAATGCTGGAATCAACTTAAAGTGTGAGAGAAGCAATCAAAACTTTAGTAAGTGTCCCATGTGACGGACGGATACTAAACGAATTTCAACATAACGCGTGGATGCAACTATTCGAGCTCCATGGATGTCCGTGTTGCATACGCACAAAAATGAAGGCGTTTTGACCTCAGACACCGATTGCCTCAGCAGCGGCGCTCAGTGAAGCGAGTCGATTAGAGGAGTTGGAAAATATGAGGAGTATGTGGAAACATTGAAAGCGCGTGTTGTTGTTAATACGGAACATAGAAGCTTTAGAAGTGGTTTCATTGATTTTTCTCGTAAAATTACCTCAAGGAGCACCCCATACACTTATATAAAAAAGAAAACATTCACTTAACATTTCATGTCAGATCTCTCTGGAAGGCTCTTCTCATTGGCGGATTTGACAGGGGCGAAGTTATAGGACCGTTCATAAATTATGACACTTTAAAGTTTGAAATTTAGGTCCGTTTTCACTCCTTCCCTAAGCATTGTTGTCAGAAAGTGCTGAAAAATATGCACTTTTCTCTTTTAAAACCTGTGTAGAATATCGACGGTGGAACATTCAGACCACGTATCTCGTTTGCGGTGTTTAAAAATCTCGTCTCCCATTTTAATTTTTGAGGAAGAACAAATCAGTATCATTGCTTGAAATTTTTGAAGAGTTTTCCTCATACAAACAAGAAAAAACATGGAAGTTTTCAAAAATTGACGTTGAGTAGTTTTCCATTTAAAAGGTAAAGTATGACAGGAAGTCTACAACGTCGCAAAACGAGAAACGTGGTCTCGTAGTTTCACCGTCGAATGTATGTGTCGAAGGCAAATAGTCAAATCAGGCATTTTGTTAAATGCCTCGGCAAATATAGTTAAATATTCTTACTTAGACTGAAATTCTAATTATTTTGCTGACTGTAGACAAAAGAATTCTCTGATCATGTGGAAATGAATTCCCTTTAAAATCTTGTTCCATACGACTATAAATACGTTTTTTCAAATCCTTGAATCAAATTTATCTCAAAACATCAGCATTTCGTAAAAAAAAAAGTTTTCAAAATTTGGGCGTTGAAAAATTATGAGGAGCATTTCTGAACGGGAAATAAAATGTACTTTGACGGACTTTTAGTCTCAAAATATTGAAAATTTGAGAGGTATTTGTGATTACATAAAAAACCGCGTAAACATTGAAAATTTGAGTATCTGCCTAGGCATTTGGTAAAATGCCCGATTTGACTATTTGCCTCCGACATATGTTTTATCGCAAAACCTGGCAACATTGATCGCCACCCACTGCGCCGGTTGAGCTCTCCTTAAACATTACAAACTTATTACGTTACGTTCATTCATTGCATCATACATCACAGTCCATTCATGAGACAGAAGTTTTTTTTTTTTCTTTTTCTTTTTTTATCATCAGCGTGGAAGGTGTTTTTTGCGGAGACTTGAAGCAATGATTTTTCGAACTAATTTGGTAAATAGTGTTGTCCTTTCGAAAAATATGCCCTCGGCAACTAGGGTCAGTTTTTCTGTGAAGTCACATTTGATCTCAAATTTTGATAACTATCCTGCCCTCAATCCTTGATCCGCCTTGCTGCGTAGGCAATCTGACACATGTCAACGCATATAAGGCGACCCGCTGAGAGCGAGAATAAGTCAATCAACTCCTCCTGCCAGTGGCGTGGCGTGCTTTGCGATATATCGATTGATCTGCCATTTAAACCTGTGGAAAAGGATCGAT